TGTCAATTAGCTCTGGGGCAGCTACTATGTGTTCAGGCAGCTCGAGCTCAAGATCCAGATCAGTTCGGTCAGGACTCGGATGCAAAGGAGGACTCGATCCACAACGCTATAGAGCACAATCGCGGCATGGCACATCGCAATTCAGCACGGCGCAGCACAGCACAGCCCTCGGAACGGTACATCAAGATCGATACACTCAGCATTGCAACCTGGCACGTTCCTTGGCACGTTCCGTGGCGCGTCCCGTGGCGAGTCCCCCTGGCACGTCGCGTGGCGCGTCCCCTGGCACATCCCGTGGCACATCCATTTGCAAGTTCCGTAGCGCGTCCCCTTGGTACGTCCCGCGGTGCGTCCCAATGGCACGTCCCCTGGCACGTCGCCTAGCGCGTCCCTTGAGACGTTTCGCGGCGCGTCCTCCTGGCATGTCCCCCTGTCAATTAGCTCTGGGGCAGCTACTATGTGTTCAGGCAGCTCGAGCTTAAGATCCAGATCAGTTCGGTCAGGACTCGGATGCTAAGGAGGACTCGATCAACGACGCTATAGAGCACAATCGCGGCATGGCGCATCGCAATTCAGCACGGCGCAGCACAGCACAGCCCTCGGCACGGTACATCAAGATCGATACACTCAACATTGCGTTTGCCCGTCGCCTAATCAGGTGTCTTTGAAAACGTTGCCATGCGTTACATGTCTATATTCCTTTCCGGGTTCGTGGGTCGATCATGGTTTGAACACTCCTCCTGCAGAGGGACAGGCCCGACTTCAAGCGAGGGTCGAGAAGCGATGCTTCTGGACGCTTCTGAAGGGGCCCTGGGACACACAAATAAATACACACAGATAACAGGATTCCCCATAGTTTCCCCTATTTTTGAAGGGTCTTCGTCTTCCCCCCCACTTCCCATAGTTTCCCATCTTTTCTGGGGAATCGACGATTCATTGTGTCTGTGTGCTTCCTTCCCTCCTGAGTTTCTGGCCCCTCTCGCGCCTCCCGCGGATTCCCAATAGTTTCCCATATGTTGGGGGTCTTCGTCTTCCCACCCGCTTCCCATAGTTTCCCGTTTTTTTTGTCTGGGAAATCGACGATTCATCGTGTCTGTGTGCTTCCTTCCCTCCTGAGTTTCTGGCCCCTCCCGCGCCTCCCGCGGATTCCCCACAGTTCCCAAATTTCTGGGGTCTTCGTCTTCCCACCCGCTTCCCCATAGTTTCCCATATTTCCTGGGGAATCGACGATTCATCGTGCCTGTGTGCTTCCTTCCCTCCTGAGTTTCTGGCCCCTCCCGCGCCTCCCGCGGATTCCCCACAGTTCCCCATATGTTTGAAGGGTCTTCGTCTGCCCTGGGGAATCGACGGTGCTTCCTTCCCTCCTGAGTTTCTGGCCCCTCCCGCGCCTCCCGCGGATTCCCCACAGTTCCCCATATTTTTGAAGGGTCTTCGTCTGCCCACCCGCTTCCCCATAGTTTCCCATCTTTCCTGGGGAATCGACGATTCATCGTGCCTGTGCGCTTCCTTCCCTCCTGAGTTTCTGGCCCCTCCCGCGCCTCCCGCGGATTCCCCACAGTTCCCCATATGTTTGAAGGGTCTTCGTCTGCCCGCCCGCTTCCCCATAGCTTCCCATCTTTCCTGGGGAATCGACGATTCATCGTGCCTGTGTGCCTCCTTCCCTCCTGAGTTTCTGGCCCCTCCCGCGCCTCCCGCGGATTCCCCACAGTTCCCCATATTCCCGGAAAGGGCTCGGGCCCAGGGTTCTCTTTTAGTGGGTAAACCTGTCCCCCGGTGCCAACTTGAAGGAGGCCGGCGAATTTTTTCCCTGATAAATATCGAGGTCGAAGGAGGCCGGCGAATTAAAATTTGAGGATGTCTCGAGCGAAACGCTTGTTTTTGCAATCCCGATCGATAAATCACAGGGTGCGGGCCACTTTTTCGTGTGTTGAGGATGTCTCGAGCGAAACGCTTGCCCCGCAGAGTTTGCCGAGGATGTCTCGAGCGAAACGCTTGT